ATACAAGTTGTACTACATGGAAAGTATCATGTTAAGAGAAATGAGTCAGAAAGAGAGGGATAGACATAGAAAGATTGCATTCATCTGGGGAACATAAAGTAACAAAATAGGAGACTAAACACCCAAGAGTGGATGAGATTAGTACCAGGAATTTTGATCCTTGGCTTGGAGGTCAGCCACACATGCTAGGGGAAAAGGAAGCTCAGATAGAGGAGCACTAAATAAAGGGTGTTGGGAGGATGCTTCCAGGATGGGAGAAGCATACTGAAAGTAGACAATAAACCAAACATGATTGCCACTCGATGCCTCTTTTACAAACCACAACACCCAAAAGGAGAGAGAGAACAAAAGGGAATGCCCGGCCACAGAGGCAGGGTGGGATATGGGGGAATGGGGGGTGGGAGGGATACTGGGACCCGTGGTGGTGGAAATGGGCACTGGTGGAGGGATGGGCATTTGATCGTTGTATAATTGAAATCCAAGAACAAAAAATTGTAAGTCTACAACTGTACCTCATGGTGTTTCACTAATAAAAATTTTTTTAAAATAAATAAATAATTGAGCGGGCCCAGTAACGTCTCCATTGGAGACTTTGTTGTTACTGTGTCTGGCATATCGGATACTCTCGGTAGCTTGCCGGGCTCTCCGAGAGGGGCGGAGGAATCGAACTCGGGTCGGCCATGTTGGCCGCTTGTAAGGCGAACGCCCTACCCGCTGTGCTATCGCTCCAGCCCGATAATAAATAATTAGAAAAAAATAAAAGAAAATAAAATCTCAGGGCTGGGAAGAATAGAGATGTTATTGGCGTCCACTCGAGTAAATCGAAGATCAACAGGATGACAGTGACAGTGACAGTGATTTATAATTTCTGCATTATAAATAATTGCTAGTTCTTTGTGTCAAGCACAGTCTAAGTAATTCACATATGTGTTTTCATACTTTTAAAATCCCTACAAGACAAGCTATTATTTTATAGTTGAAAAAATAGGAGCACTGAGGCCAAGTAACTTACCAGTGTCACTCAGATAATAAGTGACAGAACCAGGACTGAAATTGAGCAGTCTGGCAGGAAGGTGCCCTCCTTATCCCAGATTCACAACCTGTGCATACTCCTCCTAGAACATGGGGCTGCCCTTTCATGTCCATGCCCTTTCACGTCCATGCCCTTTCATGTCCATGGCATTTTCGACAAGTCAACTGTTTCCCAAACCTTAGTTTCCTTCTTTGTAAAGCAGACCCATGTCACTTGAATCCTGCACACAGAGCACAGGCTGATGTACTAGGGTTGAACCTTGGATTCCATCTGAACAGGAGCTCTAGACCTCTTTCAGCTCTAATGCTCTGTAGTCCTCTTACTCAAAAGTCCTCCATCTTCCTGCGACCACCTCACTCAAATTCTCAGATGCTGGTGGGCTCCATTCATCTATTTCATGAAGCCAAAGTGGTCAAAGGAGGAGCAGGGGAAGGAAATTACAGCTTCCTGCCTTTCACTCCTCCCGGCATGCTAATGAACCTGACACAACATAGAACACTCCAAACGAGAGCCAGCACCAGCTGTGTGGCCTTTAGCAAGTCACTTCACTCACCAAGTCTCAGTTTTCTCAGTTTTATAATACAAAAACTATATTCCTCCCCCACCCCCAGGGCTGTAGTGCAGTACAGAAAGCTCCACACATAGTAGGTGCTCAAGCTCAGGCACTTTCACAGTCTTTGTTAAGAGCAAGTACAGGATAGATTTCCATTAGGGTAAAAAAATCTTAACGTTCCCTTTAATTCTAAGCCCTGGAGGCCTTTAGCAGGGCTGACAACGACGTCTGGAGGATGGTAAATATTTGTCTATTTCAGAGGCAGCATTTATCTTCTAAGGCGCTCGTGCCAGTCCCCGTGCTGACAAGCAACTTGTTTATTTATTACCCTAATAACAAATAGATTGTCAGGCCTCGGGGTTCTGCATGCGCCTACACCAAGGAGGGGCTACTTCAAGCCCTAGCCAGCCCGAACTCTGGCACACTTTGGAGGCTGGGAAGCCGAGGGACTAAGGCAAACAGGGACCTGGCCTATTCCACATCCTGCTATTTCATTTTTCATATGTTCTACCCAAAATTCCCCACGTAGACTTCCCACTGTGAGGCTTTTCAGGGGCTGACCATGGGCTAACGGGAAAAACCATACTCAGCATGGTCCTCAAATGGCTCTAGTTTAGAGGGACATAATGGTAATGGTGATGATGATGATGATGATGATGAAGATGATATTAAGTGGCAATAATAGTATAGCAGCATATATTCTGTGCCATGCACTGTGCAAGGTTCTTTATGCATACAAACCCACTTGAGCCAACCACAAGCAGAAACTATTATTATCCCCATTTTACTAATGAAGAAACAAGCAGAGACAGATTAAGGGCCTGCTCGGAAATCACTCCTATAAAATCTATTGCAATGCAGAGCAGAGGTAGATGCCAAGTGTTACATAATAACTATGTCACAGTAATAAGAGCATAAGAGTAATAAGAGTATTAATAGAGCATTCATTTATAGCCACACAGCCTCTTTCCACATGCAAGGCATCCTCCTGCCTCTGGGCCTTTGCACTTGCTGCTTCTTTTTCCTAGAACAGCCTTTACCCAGATACCTACCTCCTGCACCTCCTTCAAATCTTCACTCAACTTTCAGGTCACCTATTGGGAATACTTTGCTTCCACCTGATGCTCCTCAATCCTTTTTGCTTCATTAATCTGGAGAGTATTTTCCTCCACCTATCAGAGTCACTTCGCTTCATTATGTCCACCTTTCTCCACTCCATATACCTCCATAGGTCAGGGAAGGTTTTCGGCCTTGTTTCCTGCTACATTCACAGCGTAGTGGGCAGATTCTGGAACACTGAAAATGCTCAATTTGTTGAGAGAGTGAGTAACTTCCCCCTTTCTGTGTGAAGGCAGCGTTTCTACAGCCCACCCCTGAAGGCCTTCCTCAGGGTCCAGTATATTGTGTCTAATGACATGTACCATGAGCTCCAATGGAGAATCTCACCCCCTTCCCAAGGTTTCAGGCTGTGGACCACTTTGGCTCCTTTGCTTTAGACAAGAGCCCCTTTCCTCCTCCCCCGCAAAAAAAAATCAGCCCAGCCCCACACCCTATCCCAGCATCTCCTCTATCTGAACTGTCTGCACTCCATTCTGCTTGAAACACTCCTCATCCTGCAGGATCCATCTTCGAGGCCACCTTCTCCATGCAGCCTTATTTGACAGGGGAAATTCTGGGTGTGGAGAAGGATGGGGTCTTTGTTGGGGTGGGGGGAGAAAGATCTGCCAGCTTCAGGGATCCTCAGTCAGGGTCGGGCTGCTAAAAGCTGATTTTGAGCATATGGCATATGGCATATACCCATGGCTGGGCTCCCACAGCAGACACCTGCAGCACTGGGCTCTTATGCTGGGGACAACTGAGTGCATGACATGGCAGAGGAAAGGATCATCCAGACACCAAAGTCATCATCCCCTGCTGTTCATATTGCTGAGCACCCAATAGCAATCTTTGGAGTAGATCTGAAGTGGTGTGGGGTGGCAGTGGTGTGGGGTGGCAGTGAAGCCTTAGCAGCCCTGGAGCAAGGCTCTCCTGCTGTCCTACCCACTCCTACCTTTGAGGCCTGGGGCATGTGGCAAAACTGTTCTTTGTCTGTTTTCCAACTAGTTCACAGGGACATTTTTTGCCACAGCCAAAGAGGCTCATCATGAGGACTGACAGATTATTGTAGCCCTTAAAATGATCACCATCATTTAAGTTATGGTTACTGCTGTTAGGATTTTTCACACTGGGAGAAGGGTCTGCACAGAGAGGTGAAGGCCAGTTGCTATTGGATGAGACAAGTGTTATAAGGTCCTGTGCCCCAAACCCCAAAGGAGCCCCATGCAAAAGAAAGAGAATGAGAGAGAGCAGTGACTGAGCACTGCTCCCCTAGAATAGGAGTGGCTTTTGAGGGTTGTATGAGGTCATATTCTATGGTAGAGTCCTCAGAATTCATCTCCAGCCTCCCAACCCTAATCTCCAGCTCACCCAGCCCTGGGCCTCTGAAGCTCCCATCACAACCCATCTCTATTATCACGTTTATCACAGTGGGCATCAGTCCAGTTCATGGGCCTGCACACACACATCTAGGCTGTGACCACAAATAGATACACTACACCCTGATACAATGTCCAGCACCTGTCACAAAACCTCCACATTTGAGCAGAACTCTCAAACCCTTCCAAACCAGAAGTATGAAGTTAAAGATTAGCCTCTTTGTCCTGGTGAAGAACACACTTCCCAGCCTTCTCAGATGTGAGCATCTTGGAGAAAAGGACTTCTATGACCAAAGCCTCCAAAGTCAGTGCAACTATTCAGAAGCTAGACTGAAGAGCAGGGACTGAAGCTGGAATGTTTGGTAGAGAAGGATGAGGGTGGGATCAATTTCCTTTTTGAAAGGCATCAAGGGTAAATTTAGAAATGGAACAACCAACTTGACCAGTCAGGAGCCTCCTGCTATTCCTTATATCATGGCTTTACTTACTGGTTGTAGGATGATTCAGGGCTTGTGGGGAGAGGACAGGACCTGCTATTGCAAGACAGTTTGCAAACATTTAATATCCTGACAATATTTAAAGGGGGTTATGGATGGAGGCTGAATATTGTCAGGATATTAAAATGTTTGCAAACTGTCTCACAATAGCAGGTCCTCCAAGTAGGGAGTTGGCCCCAAGAGCCCCCATCTCCCCCCCCCACCCCGAGAGCCCGGCTAACCACCGAGGGTATCCAGCCCACATGGCAGAGCCTGGCAAGCCACCCGCGATTTAACAAATGTGCCAACAACAGTAGCTAAAATGGGTTTCATTTCCCTAACTCTGAAGAAGTCTCCAACTGAGTTGGGAAGAACAAGAGGGCTTGTACTAAGCAGACAGAGAGCAAGTCAACAAGTGGGAAGGCGTCCGGCAAGCAGCTGGCCACCAAGGCAGCCTGCAGAGCATGCCAGCCACAGGTGGCATGAAGAAGCCACAACGCTACCGGCACGACACCATGGCACTATGTGAGATCCAGTGGCTGGTGTGCGAGATCACACAGGACTTCAAGACAAACCTGCGTTCCCAGAGCTCGGCTGTCATGGTGCTGAAGGAGTCGTGCGAGGCTTACCTGGTGGGACTCTTCGAGGACACCAACCTCTGCGCATTCCCTGCCAAGCGCGTCATCATTATGCCCAAGGACATCCAGCTGGCCTGCCTCATCCATGGAGAGAGAGCATAAAGTTTACGATGCTAAAATCTCAGGGCAGGGACAAATAGAGATGCTACTGGAGCCTGCTTGAGTAATCGATAATTAACGGGATAACAGTGACAGTGATCCATAACCCAGTCATTAGACCCTGACACACTAATGGGGACCCAGGGTCTTATATTCCAGGAATTTACACCCCAATGGGGAGCTACTGACCCAGGAAGAAAGGTAAACATCAAGAAGATGGGTACAATGAAATAAGAGTTTGCATAGCATACCAGGGTCCAGGGAAGAAAGAGCTGGGTTGTTCAGATTAAAGTGTGATTTTGATTATACCTTGGGGATTTGACCTCACAGATGAGGGGTAACTCACAGAAAAGGCCGTGAGCACACCAATGAAAAACCTGGGATTAAGTAGGTGTGGGGTCAGGGTTGTAGAGATAATACAGCAGTTATGGTGCTTGCCTTACTGTTAACCCAGGTTTGACATCCGACATCCCATCCCATATGGTCCCCTGAGCACTGCCAGGAGGGATTCCTGAATGCAAAGCCAGGAGTAACCCCTAAGCATAACTGGCTATGACACAAAAACTAAATTTTTTATAACATGTGAGTTATGTTGAAAAAATAGGGCCAGAAGAGTTCATACAGGGCTCAGACTGGAAAGAATGGGAACTCCAAGCCAGGCTAAGGAGTTTCAAGTTCAGTGCAGTGGATGGAGAGCAGACAAAGTATATTTAGGCAGGAAGATAATGTAGCTGGATCTGACAGGAAACAGGTTCTGGTTGCTGCATAAATTTGGCAAAGGTCAGAAGGGAGGTCAGGAGGCAAAACAGAGACTTTCGGGTCCTAGTTGGGGAGGATGAGGTCTGGGCCAGGGCATAGAATAAGCAGTGAGATCAGGAATAGAGAAAGGGTGTGTGGGTGGGCAGCACCCTCTCAGTAAAACATTAGTTCCACTGAACTAGACTTGGCCCATAATTGTTAGGCAATTTTTCTGCTTCTGGAGGAGGGAACCACAAAGACATCTGAGAGCTAAGGGGACCTTGATGAGCACAGAGTATGGTCCCCACATGTTTAGCTATCAGGAAAAGATCACTGGCCGCTCCCACACAGTGACAATCTATCTGAGGCCACCGTTATAACCACTGGACCATTGAAAGGAAAGGGGGGGGAGTAATCCCAATTCACTCAAGATTTCTTTGCTATTTATCTCTCAACAGAAGACACTATGGGACAGAGTATTTCTTGTAGTTGTCAGGACCATCCTGCAACTGGTTAGAGAAGAGTGGAGAACAAAAGTTCTAGCCTGACGCTGAGCTGGGTTAAGGTTTCTGAGGCATAAATTTTTGTGGTGTTCTGCTGCTGCTGCTCAGTGACCTATGGGATACAGATTAGTTCCCTGCCCTCATAGCCTCAGTGTCCTCTTTGTGAGAAGTAGACCATGGGCTGGAGTTGTAGCTCATCACAAGAGCACTCACTTTGCACGTGTGGGGCCCTGGGCTTGATCCCCGCCCCCCCCCCCGCCCCGCCCCACAAAAATAAATAAATAAATAAATCATTGTGTACCTCACCTGGGGATGGTATCTCTGTTTTTATCTGCCTTCTTCTCTATAGGAACAAGCTAGATCTATGCTGGCATGCTAGAAGAACAATCTTTTATTAAGCACTAGACTCTGGAAAAAAAAAAACCACTGTACATATGTACACACACATGCGCGCGCATACCCACACACCTTACAGTGCAGACACTGTTGCCACCATTTTAGTGACACCATCTTATTCCTTAATAAGATTCATGGAGATTTTAATCTTGTTCAAGACCACACAGAGAACAAAACTCAAATCTGGGACTTAAATGTGGATTTGTTAAATGCTAAGAGGTGCAAGTTTTCTGCAAGGACCTGCAGGGGCAGGATAAAAAAGTCAGAGGCCTCGGAATCCCTTATTTCAGTCAGTAAGTGCAGGCTTTTCCACTCCCTTGGACTTGCTCTCCCTTTCTGATTATGCGCAAACGTAAAATGGTACCCTAACGAAGACAAGATGCACTTTTCTCCATGACTCAGTATTCTCACCTATAAAATGGAATTCCTACAGAATCTAGTTCACAAGTTGTTGCAAATTAATTGAGTGAATAGATGTAAACTTCTTGGAAATTTTTACTGATTAACATTCATTATGTGTTGTCTATATTTCTAGATAACCCTCACTATCTACTGTAAGATATACTACTGCAGAAAACCACTTAAGGGTACATTAGTTCATACAAATATTTTGCTTTTTAGCAGAAGCAGTTCTTTTTCTCTCTTTCTCTCTCCATCTCTCTCTCTCACCTCTCCCCCTCCTCTATCTAATAAAATAGAAAATTTTTTGTGATATAGAGTTTTAGAATCTTGTTAGCTCTTTAACAGACCTAAATCCTCTGCTTTCTGGGTGGCAATGAGACCATACACCCTCACCTCTTTCCCCATTAGAAGATGATGTATTACTGAATTCTGACCAACGAAATGTGAACAACAGTTACTTCCTGATCTGACCCATGAAAACCTCCATGCTCTTTCCCCCTTTATCCTCTGGGTAAAGATGAGATCATGCTTTAGCCAGATGCCGAACTTGACAGACCCACAATTTTTATGTAAGGAGCCTGGGTCTCTGACTCACCACTTGGAAGAGAGATTTCCATCAATCATAAACAACTATTCTGAACTTTACTGGAGGATGAAATTAACTTCTGTAGTGTTTGAACCATCGTGCTTTCATGGGTGTTCTTGTTATAGCAGCTAGTCATACCCAGCCAATTCTAATGTTTGCAAGGAGCTTAATGCAGAGCCTAGGGCATGGTGCATATTCAGTTTATGAAGTGTTAGAAGGTCAGAAATTTTAATAATGTGTCAGGAGACCCTATAATATCAAATTTTATTTTTGGTTCTATAAAATAATTCTTAGTTGTTTTCTTTCTAAACCCATGAAATCACATAGGGGAACTTCTCTGTAGAACAATAATCTGGCAGGTGACTTTAAAGCATAATGGAAATAATTATAACTAGAATTTGTCAAGATTCTTACTATGCATCTATCATTTAACCTTTAGTAATGTCTTTACCTATTTTTTATTTATTCCTCCCAAATATATTAAAGACCCCCATTTTATAGATTAAGAAACTAAGGTTAGGAATTTAGTAACTTGGCCAAGTCACAAAGATAACAAATTGGTAGCCTAGCCGAGCTTAGGACTTGAACTTGGGCTTTATTGACTTAAACCTCTCACTTTCCCTGGGTAAAAAGAGACCCTCAAGTCCTTCAGCCCTTCTTAAACTGATCCTAGTGAGGGTCACCCCAAACCCTCAGCCAGCAAAGGAGGACCATTAGGTCTGGGATCACAGGACTTATAAGCCAAGTTTCAGTGTTAGGTTTTTCTGCCTCATTTTCCCAGGTTCAGTCCTGAGCCAAGTTTGAGTCCAGGACTGCTGCTGCTAGACCCACTCTGATGCAGCACGTAAAAAGCAGAAGAGAAAATCAAGAAAAGCAGCTCCCAGTAGCTCCCCCTCCTCACCTTGCCCAGATTCCCGTGAGGCAGCTGGAGGTTGGACCCCAGCCTTCCCCGCAAGGTCACCTTCACAACAGTTCCACCAGGGCTCCGGCTGGCAGCACACGCCAACGCCAGGCCGTGATGGATTACTGCTCGCTCTGGCTACTGTTCACTGCACAATCCAATCTATGAGACACACATATTTCTCAATTCAGGGACTTCTTTTATTTTATGAAAAATCAGTCAGCTGCTCAGGCATGAGTGGTGGGGCTTGGCAAAAGCCTTGGATTTTGTGAGCTTCCTCCAGCTCTGCTTCTTTCCAGAATTCTCTTCCTTCTGCCTTAGTCTATCCAATTACCTACACTCTCAGCCCCACAGAGTACAAAAGAAAGAGCATGGGCATGGAAGTCAGATAGTTCTGGGTTCAGCTCCACTTCTGCCATTTATTCTCTAGGAGATTTTGCACAAGTCCTCCCTGAACTTCAGTTGCTGGTACATAAAATGATGACAAAGCTTCCCAGACTCCAGAGTTTTTATGAGGCATACATGAGTCGTGGGTGTAAAGTTCCTGGCACAGTAAATAGCTCTGTACTAATGCACAGAAACTACTCAATTCTCTTCCTCATGTCTATGCTTTTTGAGTTTATTTGTTTGGTGTCTACACCTGGTAATGTTAAAGAACTCCTCCTTGCTCCATGCTCAGGGGTCTCTGCTGGCTATGCTCAGGAGACCATATGGTGCTTGGGTCCAAATATGGATCTACTACATGCAAAGCCTGTGCTCAAAGCCTTTGAGCCATCTTCCTGGCCTTTCAACTCCATTTTTAATCACATTTCTCTTCATTCTCTCTGTATATTACTTTCCCTTCCCCCCCCCCCATCCCATTCATTGATATTATGTCAGTCTTCCTCTAACTTCCCCCCCTTTTGCCATGCCATTGTAGTCACTGAAGGTTGCACACACACTTAACTGTGATGCCCATGGAATTCACACAGCTGGTCATGGCACCCACATGTTCAGCCACGATGCTCACTCATCAACCCTCACTTAGATATGATGCTCACACACATTCTGATTGTAGGGCTCTCAGGAGCTCACATATATTGCCATGCTTTTGGCCACAGTATTCTTGCATCTTCAGCTGCAGTGCTCACAGTAGTTATACTTTAGCTTAGTTGTGGTGTTTTCACATACTTGGCTGTGCACTTGAGATCATACTCCTGGTAGTCCCAGGAGTTCCACACAACAGAGCCATGGGAACTACACTAAGCCCATATGGGCCTTACTGGGCATTAAATTCATAGCTACCACTGAACCATCCCTCAGACCCCAGTCATGTCCCTCTTAGATCTTCCAGAGATTATCTCAAACTGCACTGTCCTAGAAGTCAAAGCAATTACTACCATAGGTTCCTCTAAACTAAGCTTATTCTTTATTCAGTTTTTGCCTTTTCTAAACAATTACGGTTTGTCTTGCGCTGTCACTAGGACATATTCCTTAT